GAGTATGTATTTTGTATTGCACGTGTACTGGAGTTGTGGCCCACCTCCTAGTCTTGTATAGTTGAGGTAGAGCTCTTCCCTTGTATTATATATACGTGCACCAGCACCCCATCAATACACGTCTATTGTATTGCAAACTTTCCCGTCTACAGTGTTGGTACCGCTATGATGCTTCAGGCCGATCTTAAAAAAATGTTTTAGCTTTCAGCAAACTTTTGCTTCCTCTGACGCTAGCTGCGTGTTTCGATCTGAGATGAGATCACACCATGTTGAAATGTGAATTGACTTCGTCAAAATGGATAAAAGTGGATGTATTTAGACGTATTTTAGTTCGAGATACATTTTTTTTTATTCATTTTGATGACAAGTATTTTCGGACGAAGTTAGTATAAACTTGAGTCATTTATTTTGGGATGGAGGAAGTATTAACGAGTACACCAATTGCTCAACAATTAATTTTTTTAGGTAAACACAATTAATATTTTATTTTGCATTATCACAATGATAAGGGAAACAATATCACACAACCACCGATCACTCTTAACCATCCGTACGATCGATGCACTAACGTAAGCAAGTATATCCATTGCAAAAAAAAAAAGTAAGCAAGTATATTGCGCGCACGCACATTTAAAAGCTCCACCAGCAAGCCGGCATCGGTCAAGCTGTTGGGTAGAAGGGCGAGGTGGCGAGGCCGCAGGTGCCCGTCGGCCCGAAAACGTCCTTGGCGAGGAGGATGTATCCCTGGTCGCCCCAGTCGTTGCTCCACGAGTTCTTGGCGATCCAGAACTTCTCACCGAACTCCTCGCAGTAGCCGACAATGGTGACGGCGTGGTTGACCGTCGCGGCATCGGCGGAGCAGGGGCCCCGGAAGATGCCGCCTGAGTAGAACTGGAACTCCCACGTGCTGGCGTCGATGTACACCGTCACGGGCTGCCGCGCCACGGCCAGCGCCAGCTGCCGCTCGTCGTTGGGCGGCACGGCCTTGAATCCCTTGACGGCCGCCTGGTGGTCGAACAGCAGCTTGTCCACGTCGCAGGTGCCCTTGAAGCCGCTGTACGGGTACCGCTCCTCTGACGTGATGCCGCCGCGGGAGGCGACGAGGCCCAGGGCAGTGTCAGTGCGGCCGCCGCTGCAGCCGCTGCTGCCGGTGTCGCAGTCCACAAGCTGCTGCTCCGACAGCGACACCAGCTCGCCGGTCCTGATCTTGTTCATGCCCTCGATGGCCGCCACCGCCGCGAATGCCCAGCATGACACTGCCACATACATATACATGTTCGTTACTCTACAAGAACTGACCGACATATAAAGTTACCTGAGCAGGAGTTTGCTAGGTTGACTTACAGCAAGAGCCCTGAAACTTGACGCCGGTGACGGCGCCGCTCGAGCGCCAGTCAACGCAGCACGGCTTCCAGGAGTCGTAGGGGAGCGGGGAGGGAGGCTCTGGGGTGAAGACGGAGTTGTTGAACCCGGTGAACTGCTCCGCGACCTCGCTGGGGTTGAGGTCGCCGAATCTGTTCATGCCGACCCTGACCGTGGTGACGGTCTGGGGCCCGAACCCGCCGACGACGGCGTTGACGGTAGTCTGGCTGGCGAAAGCGCCGATGGAGTTGGTGTTCGTCTTGAATACCTGGAACCGCTTCTCCTTCTCCTCGGGGGTCGGGTAGCGCTTGGAGTACTTGGTTTGCCACCTCGTCCACCTGGACCTCACCTCGGATTCCGGCAGCTCCCACGATGGCGGCGGCGGCGGGGCCGCCGCGGTCAGCGATGTCTGCAGGAGGCAGGCGATGCCCAAGAGTAGGACAAGGCAAGCCATGGAAGAAGTCATTTTGATTGATTAACTTTGGCTGTGTGGAAATGCATGCACCGGAGCTAATGTTTATATAGGCGCTTTGGTGATGCGTGTGGGTTAGCACGTCGTTGTGGCTGCAGCCTGCAGGCTGGGTCATTAGTTGTGGCCACTGGAGCTAATCCTTGAGGATGACTATGGGTCATGGAGGTGTCAGCTGAGCTTCTCGGTCGGTCGACGGTCAGTACCCGGTAGGATGGTTCGATTTTAGTTTTTTATTTAGGGTAAAGAAAGATGGGAAAGGCCGAAAGGCTTTACATGTAGAGTATAATCCGATCATATGTTTTGGTATGATTCGTTCCCACTGAATAAGCGAAATGTTTTCGTTTATAAAAATAAAATTCATGGCAATAAGGGCATTTCTAACCAATCCCCTAAAAGTTAGCGGAGTATATACTCCACTAAAATTTGGCCGCACCTAGCTGATCCCTTAAAGTTAGCGGAGTAAAACTTACAGTTGGTTTATGAATTTCGTCGAACACTTGACGTGCGCACCCCAACGGCGGCAGGACGGGCAAGGCAAGCCCGTGGCGTATGAAGCTGCGTTCGGTGATGCCCAGGAGTGCCATGGTGGTTTCGTCGTGGTGACTGCTCAAGGCCTCCACCCTCGTCGTGGTGTGTAGGGAGGTATCGCCAACGCCACCCAAGAACTATTGCGGGTCGTCGTGGTGCCTACTCAAGGCCTTCACCCTCCTCCTCGTCCTACTCACCGGCGTCTTCATCAGCTTCGCCGCCACCATCAACATTAGACCATGCCGCGCCATGGCTGCTAGCCGGCGAGCTCCTCACGGGCGAGACCAGCACGAGTAACAACCACGCCATGGCTGGTGGCCAGCGAGCCCCGCATGGGAGTGAGCAGCACCACCACCAGCCCCGCGCTGGCGGGTGAGCAGCAACAGCAGCCCTGCACAGGCGCGAGTAGTAGTAGCCACGCCATGGCCACTGGCCGGTGAGCTCCTCACGGCGAGCGCTGGCGGGTACCGGCGGCATTGGGCGGCGGCGGGCGGGGCATCCGGGGAGGTGGCTTGTGGCGGGTGGGAGGACGAGGGGCAGAGGCGGGCGAATCGTGATAAATTTTACTTAGCCGCCAAAAGATAGAGTATATTTAGGGAGATTTTTAGGGAGAGGAGTAAAATTTTACTCCGTTACGGCGGATAAGGGATTGGCTAGGTCCCGGTTAGAGGAGTAAAACTGCATTTTTTACTCCTCTAGCCGGTTATAAGGATCGGTTAGAAATGCCCTAAGTTTGTTACGCGCAAACATATCTATAGTTTGTTTTACAAGAAAATAATGTATATATCATGTATTTTTACTTTGGATATGTAAGAAAACTATGTTGGGATGGTGAATTTTTTAAGTTTCCACCTATTCTAAGAAAATTATGTGGTATGCGTACACACAATCGACATCCCTCGGATTGGGTTGAGGCATGATTCCAAATTTCTCAAATTAGGTTATATGGATGTGCTTTTCTGGGTACTTTGTCATTGTGGGACTACTGATTCGTGCTGCATCTCATAAATATCTGCTCTCAACTAACTCTGACGTTCGATAGTAGTATAAATAAGTAAAGTTGTTGTGCTTTTCAGAAGACACGACAAGACCAAACAGAGACTAAATCATACTAGAAGGACAAGTATTTGTTTAGTATTTCCGCTTAGATTATGCCTCTTTATAGTTGTCGAATATGCTAAGTGATTGCTTGTCCTTGTTCTTTCTTGAGGAAAAAGTGACTTAAAAAACAGTAGGGGCACTACTAACTGCACATGCAATAAGTTCATAAACTGGGTTTTAAATTTCTTATTTGATCAAATTGTTGAAGAGATAGTGCGAGATTTGGTCAAATCGTTTGAATCGTTACACCACATCACCTCCCCCCTCCCCCCTCATTACTGTAGGGCGTAACACCGGCTTCAAATGCATTGATATTGATTAGTGCTTGTCTTTGGTGTCTGCTCGGATCCGGTCTTCGTGTCTATGTCCGTGTATCTGTAGGTCGGATCCTTCTGATTTACGCTTCTCTTCATCGGTGGCGGTTGCTATTCTGGTGCATTGGTCCTATGGGGCACAAGCAATGACGACTTCTCGACTGTCTACCGCAACGAATGTTACTCGGCTCCGGCGAGGGGGAGGGGGGGGGGAGGTGATGACGGTGGCGCACCTTCAGCTCACTTCAGTGTTTGTAGTCGTCGCTTGGTGGTCTACGGATCTGGATGTATTTTTTATTATTTTCAGTGTTCGTTGTATAGACATGATTGAAGATGAATAAATCGAAAGTTTCCCGCAAAAAATTACATAGATATTTTTTTTATAATTATAGTATAAATGGTAATCACATCAAGCACTATTGGAACCTGGGATTGCCAACTTCTAAGTTTTGGCCAAGTTTGTTTCGTTCGGAAACCGCCAGCAGCCACCCCATCATCCCGCCGGCCTCACCTACCCTAGGAACATGGTGATGACTATGGCCAAGCCCGCAAAGACGAAAGCTGCGATGTGAGTCTGCGCCGGGTCCAGCCTTCTGCGTATAAGGGCAAACCTGAGAAATTTGACTTGTGGACAAAAACAATTCACAAACTGAACTGGTTCAAAAAAAAAATCACTCAGCTGACAGTTTTGTGTGGTGCCCGACACGCAGGCACGCCGCACCCCACGGTGCAGCGCCCAGCTCTCAGGTGTTGCACATCTGACCAGCATGGCATCCACGGGCCCCCACCCAGCAGTGCAGCGCCTCTGAGCTAGGCGCCACCGCTGTAAAGCGCAGTGCTTAGCCCATAGGCGCTACACTGTGACTTAGGGCATCTCCAGCCGTTGGCCCCCCAGGAGGGGCAAAAAATCGCCCCCTGGGGGCGCACCGGCGCTAAACCGCGCACTGGGGGCGTGATGCCCCCATTCGCAGCGCCCACGGTATTTTAAAAAATTTAAACACGGCACAAACACGGCGCAAATTCATTGCAAACTTCGGCGAGTTCATTCAAACTTAAACATATTTTACAAAAAAAGAAAAAACTACCGCGGGCTACCCCCGCCGTCTCCCTCGCCGCCCGCCTCGCCGCCCGCCTCGCCACCCCGCCCACGCGGTTCTACATGCCGAGGAGGCTGTAGAACCGCGTGTAGTCACCGCCGTCGTCGTCATCGTCGTCGTCGTCGTCGCCGCCGCCCCCGCCTACGCCTCCGCCGTCCCTGCTGCATTCCTCCCCCGGTTGGCACGGCGGGTTGGAAGGTCCGGGGGCGTCGTCGTCGTCGCTGTCGAGGACCACGACGCCGTGCTCGTCCTCGCGCCCACGTTTGCGGGCGACGATCTCCTCCAAGGCCCGGCGCTGCCGGACCGTCTCGTCGCGGAGGTAGTCGTCCCGCGCCCACCGCATGGCGTCCTCGTCGAAGAAGCCGCGCCGGGCTATCTCCTCGTACTCCGCGGGGAGGCCGGGCTCCGGCTTGGGCTCGACGAGGACGAAGCGGCCGGTGGGTGGGGAGGCGTTGGCGCCGATGCGGACGCCGGAGCTGCGGGTGCGCGCGGCAACCGGTGTGCCCTGGGGCTCCGGCTTGACGGGGCGGAGGCAGGGCGAGCCGCCGGACGAGGAGGAGGACCCCCCGGTCTCCATGCGCCTCGGGGTCCAGGAGCTTCCCCGGCGACGTGAGAAGGAAGGAGGAGCGGGGTACTCAAGGCGCGGCGTGTTGCCGCCCTCGATGTACTCGAGGACGGCCTCCAACGTGCGCCCGGGCACGCCCCACCACCGACGCCGGCCGGCGGAGTTGAGCCTGCCGGAGGGCACGACGCCGTTGGTGGCCTCGAGCTGCTGGGCGTGACGGCGGCGGAAGTAAGGGTCCCAGAGCGGGCTGTCGGGGACGTACCATGGCCCATCTCTCGCCGCACGCGGCAGGTTCGAGCGGATGCGTGCTATCTCCGCACGCCGCGCCGCGCCGGTGGGTACCGGGGGCACCAGCACGCCGCCCGCGCTGATCCTCCACGCCCCGGGCACCCGCATGTCCGGCGGGACCGGGTACTCGGCCTCGTAAAGGAGGCGAGCCTCGTCTTCATGAAGATGACGGTGGCCGAAGCCGTTCGCCGCCGCGCCGTCGCCTGGGAAGCGCTCCGCCATGGGTGTGAACTGGAGATGGCGAAGAGAGGAGAGGAGAGGCAGGAACGACGACGGCCGGAGAGTGTGAGTCGCCGAGTGCGCCGGGGCGCGTCATATATAGGCCGAGGCGCCGCCCACACGCGTGGCACCGTGTGTACGCGTGGCGGGCGAGGGAGGGCGAGGGGACGCGCGTCGTCCGGTCTTCACTGCGCCGCCCGTGAGGCATCAATGGCGCAGGCTGACCGGCGCGGCAGCGCGCGACAGCTTTGGCATTGATTCGCCGCAGGAAACGAGGCGACGAGGACGAAGAAGGGCCGAGAAGAGAGCCGTGTCGCTGACGCGGCGGGCCCGCGGCTTCTTCGCGCCAAAAAAGTTCGTCCGGCGCCCCCGAGCGCCCCCCAGCGTGCCGGGTTCAGGCTGGGTCCGCCGGCGCTGTTTTCGGCCCAAGCCGGCAAAAATCGGGCTCCTGGGGGCGCGACTGGGCCGTTTTTTCGGCGCCGGCGTGAAAAAAACGCCCGGGGAGGCCTTCTTGGGGGCGCGGTTGGAGATGCCCTTAGAGGCAGCCGCGCCTAGCCCTCCCCCACCCACCCCAGTTACAGAAGGAACGTGGCGGCAGCTTCCACCTCTCCCCCTCTCAATCCTCTCTCCCAAATTCTTCAGATCTGACGATTTGGTCCGTGGATTTCTTCACCAATCCATCCAAGAAGGTACTCTCCTTCGATCCCCTTCTTTCTATCCAGAAAATGGTACTTATTTTAAAGATTTGTGGAATCCTTGTTTGATTGGATTAGAAACTTGCATGTATATTTTGAAATAGATTTGTGGGATTTAGGATTTGTAGATGATTTGTAATCATTTTGTAACCCTAGTTTAGTCGATTTGTATTGAAAATATATGATCCCATGTTGAAAACCTAGATTGTTGAGATGAACCCTATACATGTCTAGATGTTTGTGTTGAATTTTTAGATGAGTTAGATGAAATCCTAGATTTGTATTGACAAGAATGCTTTCGTTGCGGA